GCTGAAAAATATCCTTGAGGTGGGCTGCTAGAAATAAACTATCACCCGGTGCCCATAGAAGGAAAATAAAAAAGGAGACAACATTTATATTGTCGGTCAGGGGCGACGAGGATGTGCCCTGGTAGTGGACCGGAAGAAGAGAAGAAGAACGAGGACCGGGACCGGACGGAAAAACCATATACACCAACACAGTGTATGAGGCATCTCACGCGTTTGTCCAATAGTTAACTCGAATGCGGAATACTTACAATGATTCAATGTTGGACATGCTTCACAAGAAATCTGTGGGCTGTTCGTTTGGACACTTGCACGTTTGCATCTTATTCTAGCTGTTTGCTTTTGTTGAATCCCCTGTTTGACTCCTAGAGGTACGACGGGGCAGGACCTAACAAACATGGACTGTTTTCGGGGGCCTTTTTGGAGCTTGTACACTGTTGCATTCGTTACGAACGTTGTTGGAATAGCTGGCGGCTAACTCATCGATGGCTACTGCCAAAAGTGTCTAGGGCTCCAGGCTCCCAGGACTGCAACTGCTGGCAGCAAACAAGTCGGGTAAAGGACCTCACGCTCGTTTCTTCTTCGACGACAAGAGTCCTGCAATACTTACCGCAATTTGCACGTGCCGGACTTTACACGCATGGCCAGGCATGGCACCATGACTCTAAAGATAAATGTACAATTCCACGGCACAAGACTGTTCATATTGTGGCAGTAAAAGTGCCATCACAATGATCGTTCGCCGAGGTGACTCGAGGTAGACGCCCAACGTACCACGAGCTTGTTTCGGGCCTCTTCATCTGCATATCGAATGAGAAATACGAGTATCGGCGCCTCGTCACTCCGTAATTCCCTCCGTTCTATGATCCAAACCAGAGCACATCGTAAGTATCGTCGTAGTCGTCTCCCAGGCGAGCGGCTGTCCTTGGCCAATAGCGAAACGCCCCCGCAAGCCAAACCGCGAAGGATGTCGACAGCCCCTACGGCTCAAGGACAGGGGAATTCAGGGGGTCCAGGGGGTCTCCGGGGAGGATCGCCGAGGCGGCGTCTATCTGCGCCAGGTGCTCGGAACACCAAAATTCAAGCAACGCTGCACCGATCCTCGAAAATGTTGGTGGTAGTATTTTTTTTCGGTGGTGCGGGGTGGGGTACAAAATGGGCCCTTTGCTCAGAAAACAAAGCGTGCTCTGAAAACAACAACAACGACAACCTCTAGGGGATAGGTACAGTACTGCGCTTTAAAATGTCGAGAGGCAAAAATGCTGACGCACCCTGCAGGTTATTTCTGATGCCATTCAGGAACGAGTAAAAATGATTCGCTATCGGTCACCACACTAGGGCTTCACCTCCAGCCTCCAGCAGCCCGTCACGGCGGTGAACGACAGCGGCCCACCACAGACCCGCTAATCACCCCCCATCTTCGGTGCGGCACGGCCTCGTGGCCCGCCCGGCCCGGGACTCGGCACGGCACCCCACTCGGCACCCCGCTTGCCGGCACCCCGCGCCACGGCATGACCTCACGGCCGCCAGCGACAGACTGACCTACGCTAACGCGCCTCTAGTTGTTGCCTATCGCGAGCCTAGGCTCCCATCTACAACAAGAAGACTTACTATCATGCTCTTCAGCCAAGTGCACCTGCGACGCGCTGTGCAGACATTCCTTCAATACTGTAAATATGCCACGAAATATTCACCGTTCAGGATCCGCATTTCGTTTAGTGTGACTTGTCGTGAAGCTCGAAGGTAGGCTTTCAGATCACCCATATGTAAGCGCTCCAAGCGCCTGATAGGCAGGCAACATCTTGTGTGCAGTGCATGCGTGTACTGCGGGTGGCCTCCCCCGAGTCTCTCAGGCGCCGAGCCTTCCGTAAATTGCTGAATGGATCTGGGGAACGGACGTACTTTCTGGGCTGGGCAATCCCTTTGTCTCGAAGCGGCTCGAAGTCTGAAAAACGCAAGCGAAATGCGAAATGGTTTTTTTTGCCCCTTCCCTCATTGTGCTTGATATCGCTGATTTTTTGTTCTTGCTGTTTACAGACAAACATCTCTTCGGCAGGAAACTCTCGGCAACCTTGGCAAGCAGACTCAGAACAGCAGCCGTTTTACTTCAAAAACCAAGATTAGTCAACAAGTACTTGTAATAACACGAAAACTGTCAGTTGCCGACTTATCCGACAAAGTCGATATTGACTAAACTTCTTGTTCCCAGGGAAAGAATTCCTTCGCCCCAGCTTCTGTGTTCCTCGCCGGCCCGGCGCAGCGGCAGGTTCGCGGTCGGTCCTTCTTCCATTCTCCAAAGTAACCCGTCCCCCGTCCCCGTCGCGGCCCGCCCCGGCCCGGGGAGCGCCACTCGGTGCACGCCGAGCGCGCACGCCGCCCTTGGGCCGGAGAATTACCCGCGCGGGACCCTCCGGGATGGCTGTCTCCCCCGCCGTGGGTGCGACAGAGAGGGCTGCTGGAGAGGAGACGTCCTCCGGGGAAGTCATCTCGCTGCAGCGGGCGGAGCGGGCGCGGGGAACGAGGGGCTCCCTCCTACGCCCTCCCACGCAATCCCCTCCTCTCCTTTTCCCCTTCCCCCCTCCTCGACCTGCGGCTGATGTTTTAATCTGCATCATCCAACTTTACCTGATTGAGGTGGCGCGGGGCCGGGG